CACTCGTAGTAGACTGTATATGTGCATAATAAGCCGCATTCGTTTATTTTAAAACCGCTTCAATTGTTGCACACTCGATGCGATTGAATACTCACTCATTGCACTCCGTCTGTGTGTGTGTGTGTGTGTGTGGTGTGCGTGAGTGTGTGTATGCGGTCAGCAATTTGATGTTGCGTATGCTGGCCGCGTCCTTCTCAAATCCAATGAACCTCCAAACCACCAACTGATCAACTTACGGCACTGCCAAAAATTTTCTTTCATTACAACGTTTAAATTTTTTAAAAATGTGTATTCTTTATTTTATTTTTTTTATATTATTTATTGCTCAAAAAACAAATAACATAACTTATTATATGAGCATATCGAAAAGGTTTGGTTTTTCTGTGTCCCAGCGGGCAACATTTTGGGGTCTTCATTGCTGTTTTCGTTGTGGCAGACATCCTTTTCCGCTGGACGCGGAAGTGGGTTCTGCGGGCAGAGGTGTGGGCCAAGGGGGGTTGGGGTTGGGACTGAGGTTGTGTTATTGCGATGGGGGTTTTTCCGAAGGGGTGGAAATGCACGCACGGCTACATTGTCAAAGTTTTGTGTGTCATTATTGTGGCTGTCGGCGGTTGCTCTCTGCCTTCGTCGTTCGGCTTTGTGTGCCCCCAGTTGCCCGCTTTTCCCGCCTTTATCCGCCACTCCCCCCGCGCCATTTTCCATGGTGTCCTTCGTGGTGCCCGCCGTGTTTGTTGTTGCGGGTTATTAAAAACTTTTACCGCTCGCAAAAGAGCCGCCCACAGAAACAACCGGCCATCCATCCTGACCGCTGCAGTTGCTCGTTTTCGTTTTCATTGTGAATGTTAATTACTCCAGCGGCGGTGACAACTGCCAAAGCCAGGATCTGTATTGGTCCTGCACCAGAGGACCTGCAACTGAAACTGTTGTCCGACACTCCCACATCTCGTTTTTACTGAAAAAAAAAGATAAGATCTCATAACTTATATGTATCTATTGAAAGCAAATACTTTGTGTAAGGAATTATTAAAATTCTATTCCGTTAGCTCTGGAATATTTTTATTTTAGTTAATAAGCTTTCTGCTCCTTTTATTTTAAAGTGCACTTCTTTTGCTTCCGTTCCCATTCCCTGGATTATAATCAAACTTATTTACTCTATGTGACTTTTATGAGAATTAAGCTGCATGTGGTCGCCACTGGTTATAGTGGTTGCTGTTTTCGTTAATTTTGATCATGACGATGCTAATGATGCCGAGAATGAGTTGTGTGGACGCCAGGAGCAGGCTATTAATTGGATATATGGGTGCTAAGAGTGTATTTTCGGGGTTACTGCCATTCGAAGTAGAAAATTGGGGTTCTCTCGCCCCAAAATTATCTCTGAACTATATTCTAATTAAATTTACCTGAACTCAAATAAAACAGATCTCTTTAACCTCCATCATAAGTTAAACATGATCGTTACTTAAGGCAAATAAATGGGATTCGATGTTAAAGAGCTTTGGTGGCAACCATTTGCTAAATGATGATGAATATGCCAATATGGCGCCAAACCTTGCAGCATAACTTCCAAGGTAAAGCCAATAAATTGTGGGTTGCTTTAGAAAAACCCACACGTAGTCAATACTTGCGAGCGGCTGGGCTGGCAAAGATTTTCATTCGTGATGTCCTCAGGCGAAAAGAGGAGGAGGGGCCACATCAAATATTTTGATATGTTGTGTCGCGCTGTCAAGCTGACAGGAAAATTAGCGTTTGGGGGAAGCGAAACTGGAGCCACGTGTTGATTTCGTCTCGGTTTTTAAAATGCACAGCAAGAAAAGCAGGTGTTCCTACTTCTGCTTTTATTCAGTGTAAAAAATATATTAGTTTTTTTTTAAACATATTATAAATTGCAGTAAATGATTTTAGGTAATAATTTTGTTATTTTTTGATTGGTAATGTAAGTCGAGTCAAGCAGCTTTTTCACATCTTTAATTTGCTACAAAATCTTGTTCCGACCGTAGACACAGTCTCCAGACTCCAGACTCCGGTCTACGAACTTCGTTCTCCTTTCTTCTTTCTCCGTTCTCCATTCTCCGGATCCGGCGACTCATTGTCTTTCAGCGGGCTCACGTGCTCACGTACGAAATAATTATAGCGCAAGTACGTGTCCCGCATTTGCGAGCACGAGGCTTCTCTTTCGGTTTGGGTTTGGGTTTGCTTTTGCTTTTGGCCCAGACGGGCCATCAGTTTTATAACCCATTCCATACCATACCATGCCGCCACTATTTTCTGGGCTGGGGGAAACCCATTTCATTGGCATATTTATTTTTTGTTGGCCGAACCGTTTTTAGGCTTTTCCAGCAGTTTTTCAGTGTTTCCTTTTTTTGTTTCTGAGTTTTTGACAAAAAGTTTACCAAAAAGTTTGCTACTTTTTTTTTGGTAGTATTCACCTTATTCTTTTTGGCCTTCGTTAACAATTCCCTCGGCTTTCGATGTGAGTTTTTATTTTTCAGAAGTGTCCCTGAAAAGCTGGCATCATGTGGCTGTTGGCCTGATTGCTTCCCGACTTCTATTGAAAGAGCTTTCATTATTATTTTTAAGATGTTACGGGCTTGGTCCTAGTTTCAGAATCAGGTAGTCGATTGTTCACACAGATCTCTTAAGTTTTGAACAGAAATGAAAAAAAAACTCCAACTTTTAATTTGATTTCTTTCAAGTTTTCAAATAAATGTATCTTGCCAAGGCAAATGATTTCCCAAAAGGATATTCGTAGTATTATTGTATGCTTGGAATAGATACATGAAAACTTTCCACCTGTTAACTTCAGAACAATGTTTTGCCAGAGAGAAGCTAAAACTAGCAAAGTTGCGAGCGCAAGACGACTTAACCCAAGCAATTATCTGCCTTATCTTGACTCATCGGGGAGATTAGTGAGGAAGTTGTCACGGGATCTCGACAGTTGGCGAAACTCCACCCAGGAGTTAAGTAGAACATTTTGTGGGCGGGGAGTTGGGGGTGGCGAAGAGGGGGTGGGGGGAAAGTGGGGAGTTGGGGAGTTGGGGGCGGCGTAACAGCTGTTGCATCCTGGGCCTAAACTGTGCGTCTACTCAACCACAAAACGCACACGTTCTCCAAGCTGCGAGGTCCTGCGATGAAGATGAGGAGTGGGATGAGGAGGAGTAGGAGGAGTAGGTGGCCAAGATATGGAGATGCCATAAAGGGGGCGGCCAACAGTGGAAGGGCACCCTGAAAACTGGCAAAACTTGCTCCAAAGTCCAACATATGTTGCCTGCTCATGCATGCCCCTCTTTTTCCCCCAATCTCCCCAATCCGAAGTCCCTGCCTTGCAGTCACCGAGTTAGTTTTACACAGGGAACAATATGTATTGGAATTCGAAAACATTTCAAAGCTCGTTAGGGTTTAACTATGTTAACAACAATCGCATGCATTTGCAACATCCACAACAACATTCAAATCACTTAAGAAAAACTAACAAACAAATAGATTTTTATAAGAATTTCTCTCTCATATTTGAGTGTTGCATTTTTTCGAGTGTAGAACTGGCACACACACGTATGCGGCCATTCGGCACGTGGGAGTGTGTGTGCCAGTGTGTGCGCCAGTGTGTAATTATAACAAGTTTTCTAGGCAATTTTTCTGTTTTCCTTCTCGGTTTTCGCTCCCTCCTTTCTTTTCTTTTCTTTTCGTTTCTTTTCCTTTTTCCTTATTTTTATTTTTGGGCACTGCTTCTTCAGTTGGGTATCTGAAGAGCAAGAAATAAGTTTTTGATAAGAAAGTTATGATGAGTTTTCTTTACTCACACACACACACACGCACACTCGGCGAGGAAAAGACGCTGGCACATGTACACACAGCTGTTGATTTTGGCCAAATTAGTGCAAACACGTCTTGTTTTGAGTTGTGGCCCATGTGGAACATGTGCAACTAATTTGCAGTTATCAAGAGTTTCACTAGCGGGGTCCAACGAGGGAATGAATGAATGGAATGGATGAATGGATGAGCTCCCCGTTCGCTGGTCACAAGGCATTAAGGCATTGATTTTGCCGCCCCCCGTTGTTTAATCCCCGTCACTAATTTACATTTCCGGTGGTGGCCACAAAAACCGAGAGGTGAAAACCGGGATGGGTTGCCGGGTTGATGGGCTGCCGGGTTTTGGGGAGGCGAATCCCCGCTGGCCTGTCTGCCGACTGTCAAAAGTTTATTTATTTGACACCGAAAAAGTTGACACAGACACCAGGCCGGGGGCGTGACTTTGTGCCTGAATCGGATTTATATGCCTGGCCAAAATTGGATTACAATTGAGTTGTAATTATGCGACAACAAAACGGGGGATCGGAGAGTATCCATCCTTTGGTGTCCTCCGTCCTCTGTACTCTGTTTTCCATGTCGTCGACATTTCGAGCCATTTCGAGTCCTGGGCGACGTCTTTTGAAATTTCGCATTTTGCATTAATTAAAACTGATTTAATTACGGCTTGTCGTGTTGCTTTTAAGTATTCCAACGGCCCACGGGATGGGGGACGGACGACCAGGTCCTTCAGCCGGAACAGACTATCCAGGATCCATCCACCCCCGAGGAAAATGATTGAAGCGAGAGACCAAAGTGTTTGCGACTCGTCTCCTTTCCCGTCAAAGATTCTTTGTCGGCCTCCCAGAGGTGAAAGTTTAATTAAATATGCATCGAGTGTAAATAGGTGTGTGTGTATTTAAAGTCCATATACACACAGGTATTTCGGGAAAGTCCTTCAATCGAGTTCAGTTGGGCTTCGTAAACAGAAACCCAATTATATGTTTGCTTATTTTCATGGGCAAATCGTTTTAAAGAGGTACCATCTTTTATTTTTGCATTTCCCCTAAAAACAATCCCGGTTTGTTTTGTTTTTGGGGGAGACTAAAACTAGATTCGCAATTCAATTTTATTTTGTTTTGCTGGAAAGCAAAGTTCTAAGTCCCCTTTGAGATATTTCCCATCAGGCTGTCACAAATAATCCAGACATTTGAAAACCCCCACTCGCTGCAAAACCTTTTCGATCGAAATTCCAGTTAGCAAGATCAGCTAGAAAAAAAAAATAGCAGAAACCCCCAAAAAATCTTGTAAATCCAAAAAAGCACACACAGCAAATAAAGGTACTAAATTGAAAAGTAAAAAGTCAAAGACGCATCAAGATGAATCCATTTCGTGCCCGGCAAAGTGTGAATCATCGGTTTCGCCTGACCTTGGATCGTTTGCCCGGCGAACCGCTGGACCGTTCGGTGGACCGCTCGATGGACCGCTCGATGGATCGCATAACGGACCGGCTGACGGAACGCCTGCGGGACCGCCTGCAAGAGCGCATGATGGATCGCCAGCGGGACCGCCGCTTTGTGGACCGGGTGGACCGTGCGGACCGCTCGACGGAGCGCCGGCGGCTGCGGCTCGACCATCAGCCGGATGTGGAGCGCTTCATGTTCAACATGCGCATCCTGCTGCAGCGGCACAGGGCCAACTTCAATCGGGGCGCCGGCGATGGTGTCGACGTGTGGAATTGGCGGGAGCCGCCGCGGGCCACCGGCCTAATGGGCGAGGGCGATGGCTATGGCGATATATTTGCGCCACCACCGAGGGCATTGCCCCCAATCGCCTAGCACTTCCCCCTCCTCCTCCTCCTCGTCCTTCTCCTCCCTCAAGTACTCCTCCTTCTTCTCCATCCCACCCTATATTCTTCCTCCAGTGTGATGTCCTTTTTTTCGTTTCCCGAGCGTTGTCCCCGAAACAGAAGCACAAGTTGATGAGGTGAGATGAGAGCCAGGAGCCCCAAGCCACCCAACCCGAACCATCCAAGCCATCCGAACCATGCGAACCATGCGAAGCACCCATAACCACCAACCAGACTGAATCCAGAGTACAGAATCCAGGGAACAGAAACCAGAAACCAGATACACAGAGCCAGTGTCCAGAGACGCATGTTGTGCTATTATTATATCCCCGCTGGGTTGATGTATTTTTTGTGGCCCAGCCGTTCGAGGGACTTGGGCATTCGGAGGACACGCCGAGGCGCACGCATATAATAATTTCCTGTTCAATGAGCAATTACCGTAATAAAGATACTACTCGGCTACTCTATATATTATATGGATGGCCCGGATGACAATATGGAATAATGGGAAGCGGGAAGGGAAGGCCGGCCAATGCTGCAATGATGACAACGCTGATGATGATGGTCCGTCCGTTCGTCCGTCTGTCCTGATGTGACGGATAAAGCCCGGGCTATAGTCTGATTCCTGTCTGACAGTTTTTCATGGGGCTTTCCACGGGGTTTTCCACGGGGGGCGTGATGAACATGCGGAAGCGGAAAGCGGCGCACGGAAAGTTGATTGAACTGCATTAGTTTTCCAACCCCAAAACGACTGTCATGCAATTGTCAAATTATACTTATTGCTGGGGGCATCTAAGTGGAAAGCTTTCTTCTTTAGGATGGATTTAATTCACGTAGTTCTAGAAAAAGTTTCCCAATTAGTACTGATCAAATTCACCAATAAATAGTCTTGTTTACCCATGACTTCAACTCACTGGGGAAACACAGGAAATCAATCACCTTTGCATTCACCAATTAGTTCATGAGACTTGGAAAATGTAAGGACCGGTGTTCTCTGTCTTCTAATATGGCAAGCCAATCTGGCTGCCAATTGGAACAGATTTCGCCCACTCAGCTTCGACATTTGCATAATCAAAGCTCGAGCACAGCACCGAATGAACAATCGTTCCATCCAGAAGCCTTTGGATTACCCATCCAGAATGGTCAACTTGGCAGGACTCAGTGTATCAATTCGGGAGCGGCCATCCATCCATCCATCCTCCTTCCTCACTTTCTTTTTTTGCTGTCATTAGCAGGCAAGAAGCCTTTTTCGACGGGGGGGCTTCGCTCGGGATGGTCTTTGTTTTGCTCATCGAGAGAACATTTTATTGCTTTATGCGTTTAATGAAGTGTTGCCGGTTGCCGGGTTGCCGGAGGCACTCAAAATCCACGACCCTTGGGACGCAGACAGCAACCCTTCGCTTTCGCTTTTGGACTCGGGCTCCAAGACAGGAACAGGCAGCATATCAAACATTTCTGACAGTCTATGATGTCTGCCGGGGGGAGTGACTGACTCACTGACTGATTGACTGGCTGACTGACTGGGTGGCTGACTGACTGCCTGACTAACTGACTGACTGATTGACAGATTGATGGACCGTCGACTGGCTTGGCTTGGAAAGCAAGCAGCAAGACCGGTGTCACTCACTCACCCACGAAGCGAAGCTCGCATGTAATGCATAAAGAATGAAGCTTAAATAAAAGTTGGGAGATGAGAAATAGGATTAACTTGTCACACAATTGAATTTAATTTTCATACACAACGAGAGAGGGCGGGGCGAAAAGCATCTGGAAAACCCGTCCAGACATTGTACCCCCCATCAACCATCTCAGGTTTTTTTTTTACTTTTTATTTTGGCTTTCACTTTGGGGAATATTTAGAGTTCGACTCTACTCGAAAAATGCTTTTGTGGTAATCCCTTGCCGAAGCCGATTCGGGGTTTTGTAATGAAATTACACGAGCCTCAGATTTGTCAAAGCAATCAATACACCCGGATGTGCAACCTTCGATTGAATGGACTGCCGTTCGATGGGCTGGCATCCTTGATGAGCCATGAGCCTCTGCCTCTGCCATTGAGCTCTCTTTGGGAATAGTCGGGTGAAATGGCCAACAAAAAATACATATATTTAAGAGAGGTATTTTGTGTTGCATTGAAGCTGGGTTTATTGGGCATGAAAGACCTTTTAAGAAGGGGATAATTCGAGAATCCGAGATGTTAAATAACATTTTCAACTGGAGGAAATTCTCTTTTTGTTCCTTTCAGCAGTATTGCGAAATGTGTAACGACATTTTTCCCTCTCCGAAGAGGGAACCTCCCCCAATTCGTTGTGAGCCAAACTCAAAGGTTCCTTTGACAATTCCCCATTCGCTTTTCATTATGCACATCATCCATCAATTAATTGACTGCACTCCATCGTTTCATTGCGTATGCCGCTCACATGCCGCCTGTTCTTTGATTAGCGAAAACAAAGGGGAACGAGTGACGGGAGTTCATTAACTGTCACATAAATGTGGCAAATGGAAGGATGCAAGTGGGTGGGGATAAGAGTGGAGAATACTGGGTGGTGGAACCCATTCTGTCCCATCCATATGTTAGCACTCACCACTCCGTTTCTTTGGAGCGTCCAACTTAATTAAATAGCAACAGATTCGAGGGTGCGGAATCCTTTGGTCGTGCCACAAGTTGACCAACAATCACATTTTCTCTCTCAGTTACACCCAACAAAAATAAAGGTTTTTGAAAAGATAATTATAATCAAATATAATTCATAGAATACATACAACCAATCATAAATGTCTTTCTGAAATGAAAGAATAAATTGTTTTAATTTAAGCAAAAATGTTAGCATATTGAAAATATGTCCACAATGCCGTTGACACTTTCTGTGATTCACACGAAGCTGGGAGTATTCGCACCTCTGGGAGTATCACTGCTTTTTTTGCGGTGCAGCCCGTCGATATCGCCGTGGTGCACATAAAAGTTTCTAATCCATTTGCCCGATACTTATGCACGCCTGCACTCGGGGGATTAATAAGTGTGGCTGTTTGTAGTGCCACCCCACCTCCTAACTCCCAGTTTCCCATTTTCCCAGCTCGCTCCTCGCTTTTCCGTTGCCAGCCTCATATATCCAGCTTCCCGAATGGTTTGTTTCAACCACCGCCAACACCGCTCGACTTTGCAGCCAAATCAATTTCAACTGTCAACTGTCAATCAGGCCGCAATTCAATCACGCAACGTCCTCGGATCAAGAGAGGGTATTCAACGAACTTAAAGGAGAAACCCAAGGAAAGTACACCGCATTTGCCTGAATTATTCAAAGGCATCTCATCCGAAGAAAAACCCCCGAACTAAAACCCAACACACCACACACACAGCCCCTTGTGTTATTAATGTTTTCGACTCCAACAAAGCAAAAGGCAACGAGTCACGACCAAGAGTCACAAACATTTGTTCAAGAGATTTTTATGAATTACATCGTTAGACGTTCGGAGGGGTTGTACACAGATTTTTATTGGTATTATTGCCATTTACAACTCGGCACCCGTTTCGTTTTGTTTCTTTACGTTTCTGTTTGGTTTTGACCTGGCTTGCATATGCATTACGTACCCGCAGCACTGCCCATGGAGCCCAATCCAATCGCTAACCCAGCCAGAATCCAGAATCCCTGGTAAATTTCGCAGTCAAGACACATGTCACGTATTTTGCTCGTAATTATGGCAAACGTGAGAAATTTCGTTAAGATTTTCTTAACACATTTTCTTGTGCCATACATATGTACACATATACAAAGATGTCTGCTCTTTACTCGTGGCATGTGGCATAATTTTAGGCAGTTTCCCGGTGGCAGTCGGTCCACTCGTGCGGTACAGTCACCACAGGCATGTGGTGAACCAGCAAAGTACTTTCTCTACAGAAAATGCCCCATGAGAGATCTTCGTTTAATTAGCCAGTCGAGTCGCTCTTTGCTTCAAGAGACTTTAAAGTTTTTAAAGCCAATTAAGATTCTATAAAAAAAGCTATACGTAATGTTTTTAATTTGTTTTATTAGGAAATTTTACAAAACATTTTCGTTTCTAAAGATCTTTTTAGTGGCCGTCAGATCAGTCAGCTGTTTCACTAACGCCCTTATCAATTCCTGAACTTTGGCCACAAAATCCTTGATGAGCTGCCTTTTCGCCGACGATGTGATGGCCGTTCCATTCAATGGTTGACTGGGCAAACTCCAGGCACTGACACCATCACTTTTTTTAAATACAAAAGAAAGGCTTAAAGTCTCCTTTGAAAACTGGTAAAACCGGGAATAACTTACGACAAAGCAGGACAAGGAACAATACTTTTTGGCCTGACATTTTCGAGCAGCAAACTATGCTTATTTTCGGGCTTAACCCTTCATAAATAGTCCGAAAATTTGGTTCTACGTGGATTTTGACGCTCTTACAGCTCACGTACTTGAGATTAGTTCAGGCAAGTGTCTGGTTTGTGTAAAGTCATAAGTTATGGAATCACATACATTACATACATTTTTTCGAAGTAACCCAAATCTGAGTTATTCAGAAAATCCTCTCCAGTTTCAATGATAAGTATGTATTTTAAATGCTCAAAACTTTACTTTACTGTTTATTAAATCATTACAAAATCTTATAAAATGAATAGGCTCGTTTGAAACACTTTGTTGCTGACATAAAGTTGACTTAGGGATCTCGTTAGAGTACACCTGAAAGTGGGGATCCACCGTTTAGAGGCAACTTCGAACCAAGTTGACCCACCGCTGTGGACCCAAGTGAGCTGGTAGCTCCTGCCGCAGCTCCACTTACAAGTGATGTTGCTACGGGCACAACAGTACCTACAGCACCACCACCACCGACAGCATCGAGGACTCCACCACCAGGACGAGCTTCAATCGTGCCAAGGTAGCAGGCTGTGAAAAATTACAAAAAAAAAATAAATTGTTATCCTGGACACTGATACTCCTGATCTGAAAAACTACACACCACACAGGATAAGAGCCACGACGATCGATTTGTTGAACATTTTGGCACGGTTTGGATGTATCGACTACTTGACCCAACCCAATCGACTCCGGTTTTTATAGTGTCTGGTCGGAGAATGTCAGAGGGCTAAGCTCACGTATTGGCTATCACCATCTAGAGCGTGCTCTACGTTTTATCATAGGTTCGGAATCGCAGCTATATACTACTATAGTACGTCATTGCCATCGTGTCTTTTAAATGGGTCCAAACTGCATCGCAGCAAAACAAAAAAGGGGAGCAGAAAGCTTATAGGTGTTTAATGAATTACTTGGCGACAGCAAAAAACCTGTAAACAAGATTGTAGTTAAACGCCTAATAATTAATCATTGTAGAATCTATACAATGAAAGGAAAACAATGCAATTCCGAATAAACAAACAACAATTGTGCTATTTTTTTTATAATAAGGCATTCGAAACAGACACCCTTTCATGACCCTTTGGCGATGCCCTTTCCATATTTAGATTTTCTCTTTATTTGCATTTCGCAAATATCTTTCATAATAATTCGCTATTCGTTTCTAGTCACGTTCCACCTATATAATTACAATTTTAAGCTTTTGAAAGCGGGCGCATATGCATGTAAATGCATGGCATGTAAATACATAACTAAAATTCTGAATTCTTTTTTTTTGTTTTTTGACACCAATATTTATCAATGTTCATTGCATTCGTCGCTTGTTATCTGAGCAAATCGGATGACATAGTTTCTGTTTATATTCGGTTTCTCTCATATATAAATTCTCACGGCCACTTCATAAGTAAAATATGCAACCAGAAAGCCGTTTAAGATATACTTTTAACCGCTTTCTAGCTTACAAGTGTTTGTACAGGAAATTGAATTAGTTAAACTTGAACTTGAAATGCTGGAAAATGTCATCATTTGCAATTTCAAAAAATAAACTGATTGATTGCTTTATTATTTAACGCATTGCTTGAAAAGCTGGTCTTCTTGTTTTGCACCGGCAAACTTCTCTGGAAATTGTCCAAGATTACGTGCCCGGTTGTTAATCGAATGCAAGTACAATGCATCCGTTGGCATGCTAGTAGTACATGTTTTAAACAGTTCAACAAGTGTAAGCCACTTCCGGAGTGGAGAACGGAATCAAAGTCAGAAGACATCTTCAATGGCAGAGGTGAAAAAGTGGAGAGTGACGCCGGAAAACGAGAGTGAGAGTGAGTGGCAACAGCTGGCGCATTGAGATTGGAATCGGCTGAAGACGCGATAAGTTAATCGGCAATCGCACGTACGGAGCACACGTTTCCGGACGTGGCTCTAGTGCACATCGATATAAAACTGGACCATCTGAGCACTCGGAAAATCAGTTCAATTAACCAAATTTATAGAGCAGTACGCCCAGTCCCAGCAGCAACACCATCGGCTAAAGTCCTCAATTCAGGGCTAATTAAGGAAACGGAAAGAAAAGCAGCACGTCGACAATGCTGTCGTCACGTAAACATTTAATTGCCTTCGTTGTGGTGACAACATTAGGTAATTAGTGGCTGGCTCACATGACTTAAGCATGGATTCTAATTTCTCGCTCATTTTAGTCAGCTTGACGGTTGCTCAGGAGTCCACATTTTTGGCAACGATCACCAGTTCAAACAACCAGCTTCAGTCGGCTAATGGTGCTAGCTTAAATAACGAGACGATTTCGATTAATATCAGCGAAATAGTTGCAGCTGTCGAAGCGGCATCGAATACCACAGATTCCACTACAGCTTCTACAACAGCGACAGCAACAACGGTGCCAACAAGCACAGTATTACCAGTTACAACAACCACACAAGCAGCAACTACCACATCCACAACAACCATTCCAACAACAACTACTCCAACAACAACTATTCCAACAACAACTACTCCAACAACAACCATTCCAACAACAACCACGCAAATTGCAACGACAACACCAGCTCCAACAACGCAAACTCCAACCACACCACTGCCTTCCACGACAACGCCACAAGCTACTACAACAATAAGTCTAATTTCAACAATTCCGCCATCCACTACAACAATATTGCTACCCTCAACCCCTACAACAACCACAGAAACTCCCACAACAACACCGCCATCTACGACAACAGCCACTCAAGCTTCAACATCTTTACAATCGACAACACCACCACAAGTTCCAACAACCACTCTAGCTCCCACCACAACTCCACCACCTACGCCCCCAGCTTTAACCACAACAACCTTTCCATTGACTACAACAACAGAACCCACAACAACCACACAGAGTCTTACAACAACACCAATTCCGACAACAACTACACCGACTCTTACAACAACACAAATTCCAACAACAACCACACAGACTCTTACAACAACACCAATTCCAACAACAACTTCACAACCTACAACAGGAACCACACAAGCTACAACAACTCCAGAGGCAATAGCTATCACCGAAGCTTTAACAACAATTGTTGATAGCACCACAACTTCAACTATTTTAATAACAACTACTAGCACAACACCACTCCCGTATACCGTTTACACCATGGAACCCTATCCGAATATATTCGGCCAATCCAACGTGATTGGTAACCAGGGACGCAAATTGCGGAAGGGTCGCAAAGGGCGCAAGGGAAGAAAGCTACGTCGTCGCACCACTTTGGCACCACTGACAACGAGCACCTCAACGAGCACAACAACAACCGCCAGGACAACTCTGAGTAGCGATGATTTCAGCGACGACTACGAAGATCTAGTCCTCAACTCGAACACTGTACTGGAACCTTTTCCCGACTTGCCTCTCGACCTCGGAAACATTAATAACAACAGGATTCCCAAGTAGGTGAATGCATGCACCGATCTCCAGGAGACTGAGACCATTAACTGGAGTTCCCCCTTGCTCCATGGTTTGTTGGTTATGTTTGTAAGTTATATTACCACAAAATTGTAGTTTACCGCTTATGAGCGAAATATATTTAAAAGAAATAAAACTATTTTGTTTTCAGTGAAAAGATAAAAGACTTCTGCTAAAGTAATATCAAAAGCTGTTCCCAGTTATCATTTCAATGAGCGTGTTGACACCTAGCTTGCGAACAAAGAAAAAAATATGTTAATTTCAACTACTTGATAGTGGCATACATTTATTTTCTCAATCAAGACTTTGTTCACATACAATTTTCCCTCTAATATTGCCGATTTTTGCAAGATAGTTCCAATTACAAAATCACTATTCAACCGAATGAAGACAATTATTTTTGTGTGGCAAAATGCTCTGACAACTCAACAGCAATACATTCCAATCTGGCGAGGCTCATTAACGTGGCAAGTTTGGAAAAGGAAATGGGGTAGCCAAAATGGTAACAGAAACTCTCAACCTAAAACGAAAACAGAGGAGAAACTCATAAAACACAAACGGGCAAACAGGCAAATAAACAGTTGGTGTGCAATTAATTTGGCAAACTGTTGGCCCAACACAAACACGTACATATATATATATATATATATATATACGTACATACCCGGTGCAGAGTCAAAGGCTCCCCTTTCGGGTTTCCATGTGCATAAGGCGCACTAAACAAATACAATTTAACTTCCAGTTTCAACACATCAGCAAAAACAAGCCGAGCAACACCATGCGCACCACCACCCCCAAGATAATGGTCGAGTCAATTAGCAGCGCCTGATTTCCGAGTCGCAAGCCAGCGCATTAAAATCTTGGCCAACATTGCCAAAGTAACCACTCCTCCCCGTCGTCGCTAAATAACCGAGGGACTAATCAAAGTGACAGCTGACCATAGCCTACACTGGGCGAAAGGTTTTCAAAGAAAACTGATCATTTAATAAAGTGCAAGGGATTATATATTCCATAATGCATAAGAGGTTTTATAATTCCCAACTGGTTAAAGTATCACTTACCTGCAAAGATTATTATTCTGTAGATGAGTCTATCATTTCTGACTTATTTTTCGCCCAGTGGAGGCAGAGCATTGAACTCATTCGAAGCCCAGTATCGCTGAAGGCGTCCCAAATATGCCGCGAGCCAGATAGATTGTTCGGCCAGAATGCACGTGCTTATCGCCGGGGCGAAGCGGGTAGCACGTGCTCCCAGATGCAGCGGCTCGAAGTTTCGGGTTATAAGTAGCTGGACCAGCTGCTTATTACCAAACAGAAACAGAAACAGCAAACCGAAGCTGAGTCCAACTACCGAAAGACAATGCTAAGATTTGGACAACAACTAATGCTACTGGCGATGGCCTGTTTGGGTGAGTTTGTTCAACAAGGCGGCACCCCAAGTGGAACAATGGCTTCTAACCCTGTCATATTTTGGGACAAATAACAAAATAACCAAAAAAAAAAAAAACCCACAGCCCTGCAGACGGCCCACGGATGGCTTTTGAAACTGCCCAAGCTGGAGGATGTGCTGGCGGCCAAGGAGGAGAAGGACGAGGCCATGCTGGACTGGTTCGAGGGCAAAAAGCAGAAGGAGTTGCTCAAGAAGCTGGATATCCTCAATTTGTTCACCGAAAAGGAGGAGGCCAAGCTCGAGAAGAAGGAGAACGAGTGGGAGAAGTTCAAGCAGTGGTTCGACGAGAAGAAGGAGAAGGAGCTGGCCTTCTTCGAGGGCAAAAAGGAAAAGGAGCTGGCCTTCTTCGAGGGCAAACTGTCCAAGAAGCTGGGCAAAAAGAGCAAGGCCAAGAAGACGACGGCAAAGCCCTGCTACAGTTACCAACCCGCGCCGACCGCCGCCTATTATTCCGAGGAGGAGGAGTACGAGGAGTCCGAGGAGGTCACCGAAAAGCCCTGTCCCAAGTGCTACGACAAAGCACCAACCTATCCAGTTCCAGTGAAATACGGCGTGGTGGACGATTCGGCGGAGGGCATTCGCTACTTTACCTAAAGCCCCCTCCCTACCTAAAGGACCAAGCTAATTAGCTCGGATGGATGGACGGATATTTATTTATTGCATTTTTCCTGTCGCTCTCTCTTTTTTACATAATTACATTTTTAATAAATATAATTAAAATTCACATAGCCGAACGACGCGACCTCACATCGGTTTTTGGCCTTGGGTTTCAGGTTCGGTTTTTGGTATTGGCTTTTAGGTTTGCGGCTCGCCTGTCTGCCTGTCTTCAGCTCGCCTCGCATATCATTTGCATATAAATTGAATTCCCCGCTTCAATTCCGTTTGGTTTGGTTTGGTTTGGTTAGGTTTCTTGCCTAGGATTCGTGTAGACAGCCAATATTTTATACATTTTATGTTCGCACTTGGGTGTGAGGTGTGTGGGTGTGTGGGTGTGATGTGTGACGTGTGGGTTTGTGTGTGTTTGTGCGGTTTTGATCTATCATACCGAATACCAAAACAGCCACTAGCTTCCCATTCGCATCCACATCCGCATCCACATCCACATCCGCATCCGCGTCCTGTCAGCGACACTTCATCCAAACTGTCAGCTGGTGGCTCAGTGACACATTGCGCCCATTATTTGCATAAGGTGGGGATGGATGGTGGAGATGCAGATGGGGGATCGAGTGTCTTTGGACCTACACAAAGTGGTTTATCCTGTCATCGGTGCCGCTGCAGGTGAGGATGATGCAGAACGAGCGGGGGAAACTTTAGCTTTTGGCCAGCGTAGATTACAGAACTTCTGCCCAGGCTTCAGTTTTACATCACTTGAAGCTGCCATGTTAAGTCATCACCATTTTTGTAACATTCTAATTGAGCTTGTCATGCTTTATTAAAAGCCATCCAAATCATTTATAATAAACTAATTCCAGCAAAATATCCAGGTTTTACCTTTCATTTTAACGTTGGAATTACATTTACAATTTGGAATTAAAAACATGCCATTTTGTAAAAATTTGTCTGAGTTAACACTCTAGTTTTTACTTTTAACTACACTTAATATCGGGTAAATGTCGAAAATTTACTAAGCCAAGCACTTATATTTTCACTATTTAATTTTAGCAAACTTGGCATGTTCATTGGTTGTTGCTATACTTTTTTGTACGTAGTTCTGGTAGCATTTACAGTGGAAACTTTTAGTGGCTAAAACAATTCTGCTCTTCTTTCCACTTCTAAAATGTAATTCTTTCACTGAATTATGATCTGAGCGAATATCCACCAGTTTTCCCCAATCGAAAACCCACAAATCTGTCACACAGTTGTAAATATTCGTGTACGTACCATCCACATACGTACATATACGGAATATATATCCGCTGCACTGACATGGAAATGCTTTTCAAGCTGTCAATATGAGAATTTTGGTGGGTTATGGGGGGGAGAACGTTGCAACATTTGCGAAACCGAATAAAAAAAAACTGCGGAGTATACAGCCGCCTTACCAGCAGCTAATGGTAATCATAATAATAATTCGGGGTTTTGTTTGTTTTCGTTGCCGATGCTGAGGCAGCAAACATTTTCGGGCCAAAAGCATTTCATGGTTGGTAAGCACGCCGCTCACCTCTCTGTGTGTTAGCGAGTATCTGTGTGAAGGCAGTCAGACTGTGTGTGTGTGTGTGGGTTTGTGTAGGTCCACACGGGCTGATTCACTTTGCAAATTTTGTGCCATGCCACGAGTGTTGATTTGACCATTGAGTCGTGGCATCGAGTGCAATTAAAAATCCATTGCGTACTTTTCGGCAGCATTCGCTTTCAAATCGGTAAGCAGGCTATCGGTCAATCGATTCACTGAACTCCTTCTGCATCACAAAAACTAAGTTATCTCTGAGTTGCAATTATTGAATAGTAAATCGCTTCATTTATCGATTTCTCAGATTTATTTGGGGTTGTCTTCGGAGAGTTCTCCCTGTCCCACAGATAATCATTGAGCGCGGGGGTAAAACTATTATTATTATTTTCCAATTGCGATTATCGGGTGGCACTCCTCGGGGAACTGACTTTGTCCGGAGGTCTGGACTTCGGCGGTCAGTTCTTGTAATTGCAGTCGAAAAAAAGAAGAGCAAACTTTGTTTATCCTTTGCCCGAAAAAGTTTTCCTTTTGGCCCAGCGCTTCGCCTTCGTTTTTCCTCCCTCCGAATAGCCCAATTTCTTTCATTGCCTGCCACAGTTACAGTCCAGCGACGAGGGGGTCAATCTTGTTAATTTCAGCTCTGCGAATGAAGCAGACACTTGCCCCAACCCCGAACCCCAAAGAACCCCAAAGTCAACTCCCCGCCCGATTGTATATATTGTATTTGCCCGGCCATTTGTCTGTCTGTCTCCTTTTTTGGGGTTATGCACGCATCGGGTGGTTTCTTTTTTGGCGGCTTTTCCCTCCTCGATTGGGGTTCCCCAAGCCCCTTCCTTCGTAATCGCAATTAAGATAATCAAAAAGTTTTGACAGTGGACTGTCAGAGCTGCGGAGGCTTCGTTTTTACTTTCGCCACTGTCCGCAAAGTTTTTCCGTCCGCATTACAGTTGAGCTTCTTTAAGTTAAACTTGTTCTGGCTACGTAAAGAAATCTTCATACGAGACCTCAAATTGCAGCCAGCTGCAAAGTCCAGGCTCACTCTATGAAATTAAAAAAATTGTATTCGAAATGTAGAGTTCTGAAATGAATTTCTCAGCGTCAACTTACAGATATTCTTTTTAGAAATGAATATTGAAAACCTACTACAGACCAACTGTGTTGGTTTCGATTTTTTTTATGTTGCCGCAATTGTTGTTTCTTTTTTTACAATATATGCTGCAAGTTTTTGCTCGCCATTCGTACAACGATTTCAAGTGCAATAGCAAGATGCCATCAACTTTTTTGCACTGGTCAAAACGGCTTGGTAAAGTTTTTAGGGTTGCCAATGCATACTTTGCGGCTATTATTTCAGGCGTTTTTTTTTTTCTCCGGCGGAATAAAAGTTGACGCCGAGAGTTCAGAGGCCTGCAGCTGAAGGCAAAGTTTTATTGCCTTAGATGAACGGAAATTGGTTTCCAGTTTATGAATCTGATAGTTGCGGCCAGAGCGATGGTGCACTTGGCAGCGTATCCAGCGTAACGATTCCTAATCCAATCACATCAGGCGCGGATTAAAGCAGGTGGAAATGGCCACGGAAACGGCGTTTAGTTGGCCAAACAAAGCAACATCCGATGTCTGCGGATATCTACGAATGTGTAAGCGGATGTGTCAAGAGGTGGAGGCCGAAAAGGGAAAGTTGTAGGAGGACCTGGCTGCTTTCGACCCAACTCAAAGGGAAATGGAAACAGACAGACGTCGAGACAGCCCACAGAAAAACAGGCAGACAGACAAAAATGGAAGGAGAAGTCGGGAGGCGTTCGCAAAAAAACAGAGGGAGTTGCGAATGTTTTGAGCAAACAGACAATTGAACAAGCTGCGTGGACTAGACGTCAATATCCTCACCTTTTGCACCTTTAACTTGTGTAAAAAAATATTAGAAATATACTCTCTAGTAGTTAGAACTTAAGTCTGAATAATGACTAATGAATAACATAATGAATAATGACAAATCTATGGAAGCAAGGCTTTTTTGATTGTTATTCCGATCCTAAGAAAATCTTAATTTGCTAAATATATTTAATAAACTTTAAGTAGAAATAAGTTGTTTGTGTGAGAACTAAAATAAAAGGGAGAATATATCTGCTGGAGCCCCTTCGAATTGGGGTTCCACCACCAGCTAGAAAACGTCTTCGTTTGGGGTCAGTCGTCGTGTGCACGTTTGCCGCATAATTTATGCAAACTAAAATTTCCACTTAAGCATTTTATTCCATCTCGGAGCAATCTTATCGTCCCCTCATCCTCATCCGTCCCATTCCGCAAGCAATTAAATGGAACACAAATTTCCCGTCCAAAGTCCGGACCTTTGGATATGCAGACGGACAATTCGGAGAGCAGACAGTACTTGGCATTATTTATGGCTTCCTTTTTGGCCCTTTGTTGCCTCGTTGTTTCTGGAGGAGTTTTCAGAGTGGCGACTTGGTCGGGGATTCCACGGGGTTGTGGTCTAAAATGAGTGGAGGGTTAAGGGATGCACAATCCAAATTGCAATTAATAAGGATCCTTAACATACACCGAAAAAACAATTTAATTTAATGTAGTTAATTTACTTCTGTTTAGCTTTCATCGAATCGCTGAGGTTTAAAAATTTTATTTTATTAAAGAAATTTTAAGTGTTTTTATTATTATTAACATTTTGTTATTTTAGTTTGTAAGATATTCTGTTCTTAATTTTTTTCTGTGTAAGGAAGCGGGCAAACAAATCCTGAACCCATTGAGGCAATGAAACCGCTTCGATCAACAGAATTTTTTCGGCTTCTTCAGCTTTCCCTTCAATGGCTCAATTCGCTTTCATTTTCCACGTTTTTCCCGCTTTCCCGCTTTCCATTTCCATTTTCGTTGGCAAACAAATTAAGCAAAGTTAATAACGAAATCTTGTTTTCAACATAAACAACAAATATGCAAATGACTTCATAACATTCAATGAGTGCACGAGACCGACTCTGAAACATGCTGATGGAGCAGACAACTTCGGTGGGTGGTGGGTGGTTGGTGATTTCCTTGGATTTCCCCTTGCCCTATGTAAATATATGTACAGTTAGCAACAGGCGAAACGGCGCAAAGGGGTTTTGCCTCAGATCACTGCATAATTATCGAAATGAGAGCGAAAGGAAACGCAATTTGCATAGATTTCAGACTTTAGGGGGTCATCTCAAGAGCAGAATTTGTTCTCCATAACAAAAGTCGGACGTGGTGGGCAAAAAACATAGTTGGATTTGTAATCAGTGAAATGAATATAATTGTTGTGGGATTACTAGCAAAAACAGACCAAGAAAGAGACAGCGAATGTTAAATATAAAGAATTATCGAATAAACATATTATCTTACACAAAAAAGTGTGTACAAGTTTTCGATTTTATTTTTTTAAGCAGCAAATATTTGGTATTTTACAAAAATTATAGCTACAGAGTGAAAGTTAAACGCGCAAGCAAATTAAATATTTTAAAATTATCAAATTCCTTATAAAAAAAAAAAACTCTTTGAGTCAGAAACTAACGACTGATACTACGATTTCGACAGTATCCAATG